CTCTCTCTCTCTCTCTCTCTCTCTCTCTCTCTCTCTCTCTCTCTCTCTTTCTCTTTCTCTCTCTCTGCACTTCCTCGATGCATTGTTCCGTTCCCTCCGAGTTTCGAGGACCTCGTATGCAACGAGGCAAGTTGAGTTAGGTCAACCCTCGATCCGAATCGCTGCGAATTCCTTCCCCGGCGCGCGCATTGTTCCCGCGATGCACATATTGCAGCCCATTATTTCGAGCACATGCGTGCGATTATTAATTCTCGCGAGGGCGGCTAAAGTCGGCACGAGATTTATATATATATATATATATATATATATATATATATATATATTCATAGCGGTGAAAGCGCTCTTTATTCGATTATTGGAATAAGGGCCGATAAGACTCACCCTGCAACAAAAATCCATGCAGCGCGAGGTTCATGGCTAGCTCGATCAATTCAGCCTTCAGCCTGAAACAGAGAAGAAAAAAATGTTTTTTCGTGATTTTCGTGCGATCTATTTTAGAATTATTTATAAATCCTCTCTTTATAATTTTATTTTGCTTATCTTTTCTTTTCTTTCCTTTTTTTCAAGATATTTCTTCTTTAATTTTTCGCTTAAACAAAATTGATTGATTTTCTTTTTTTTTTTTTTTTTTTCCCCTCTTTATTAAATTATAATTACAAAATGCAATCCTTCCTTAGTTTTTTAATTAGTTTTTTAATTGAAAACGTTTACTTTCACTGGGAAGAGTCACTCGGACCGGGATTAACCAAGAGTTTAACTGTACAATTTAACTTTAAATTATTTCGCAGTTTTCCAAGTTGCCCAAGAGCATTGCAATCGCAACAATCATCCGCACGTTTCACGTACGATGAATTTAAGAGGCCCATTTCATAAGAGTAATTACTTTTAATTGATCGGGCGGACGCAATCGTCGGGCAGAATTGTGGGATCGATCAGAAAATTCCTCCTTTTCAAGACCTATGAATGATAGATGGTAATAACGCAAACGCTAAACGACGCTAATTGCGGCTAAATTGCACGGAGGCGTAGAGGAATCTCTGAACAAAGTAAATTCGTCTCTATCGTCGCTTCAAAATATAACGTATTCTCTCTCTCTCTCTCTCTCTCTCTCTCTTGGAATTAGATCCATCGATGGATCATATCTGAAGATTAAATGAACATCGATTCAATTTTAAATACAATTTTTATAATCGTAGATTGAAACAATTCTTTAATTGTTAATAATTCTTAATAATTCTATTAGGTATTAAAATACTCTTGACCATTTTCTTCAAACTTCTTCAAACCGAATGTGAATTCAATTTGTCCAACAATATCTACGGTATTTCTATATAAGAAAATGTTGAAGAAATCTTGTAAAATGAAAGCTGGGCGAAGTGGTCGGCGGCTTGATCATCAGGATCGATAAAATCCGAGCATGTGCAGTCGATCGACGCACTCGAAAGTCCTCGTCGGGGCACAATGGCCGCGTTGCAGCGGAATTAATTCAGGTCGAGCATGTAGAAACGCACGCGGGTAACGGTGCCTCTCCGCGGCCACAAAACGGCCAACGGAATTATTTCTGGCACACCGGATTTTTCTTTTCCTGTTTCCTACCGCCGTTTCTTCCTCGTTTAACTCCTAACTTATCACTTAACAAATACATACTCGACTCGATAATAAGATACTCTGCTTCGAGAGATTCTTCAAAGTTGGTGCAAATTAAACGTACTGTTAAACAAGTGGCATCTGACCAAATAAGTTAGAGAATTCAATAGTGATATAGTAAAAAAAAAAAAAAAAAAATCACAATGACGATATATCTCGTGTCGTAGGCAAAACTTTGAATGAAGATTTTGGATTTTTTATGAATGAAGATTTTCGATTAATTTTTAATTTCTATTGAAGTATAATTAAAATATTTCGAATATTTTTAATATAAATGTTATTATTATTGACGAAAAAAAAAAAAACTAAGATGCGAATGTTTGATTTAACGTTATTACTGAATTGTGAAAGTTTTACTACGTCTATTACCTAAACCGCATCTCATACATATTCTAACAAGTCTGTTAGAAACGATTATTGAATTTCTAAATATTTTTATGTGCGTATCTTTATTATTATTTGAAGAAATACAATCTATCATCTGATATAGATCTAATTCAGATATAGTTTAGGTTCAATTTTAGATCCATTAAATATGCATAAATATCGAATTATAACTTAATAACTTTCAATTTCTCTTAAAAGAAAAATACACAACTTGTTCCTCTGTTTTTTTTTTCAAAAAAGAAAAAAAAAGGGAAAAAAAACATTGAGAATGAAAAATGATGTATGATCTGGAAACGGTGTCGAGGAAATAATTCTTTTCGTGGAAAGTGAAAGAAGGAAAACTTTCTTGCTATCTAATATGGAACTCCTCCAAATGAAATTTCCATCTACCAGATCTATATATAATCGTATCGAAGCAAATACTTTCGAGGAAAATAATTCTTTTGCAATAATTTTATTCATCGAATTTTTATAAATTTTGAAATTTTGAAAATTCAATTTCAATAAACCCACATTTTCTTAAATTCATAAAAATTCAAATTTCTCAATTACCTATTTTTTATTATAATTATCCCTTGCTCTGCTTATCCACATTGTATACCAAAGTAACAAATGCTTTTGATCCATTTTTCTCAATCAAATCAAACCAATTATAGAAATATCGCATTCACGCATCTTCAAACATCGTCAAATATTTTCAAACGGCGTCAAACGTGATTAAAATCGCGAATAATCCTATTAAAAATGATTCTGACGAATGGTCCCAATGTCCCCAATGTCCAAACAAGGAAAAATTATTCAATAATGGAACAAAAAGAAAGGAATACAACAAGAGAAATTCATTAAACAATTTCATCAGATCTTGTAACAGCAATGAACCGATCGTGCGGTATTCTGTTTCGCGTACCGTGTCACGAAAACGTCCACCGACCATTTTCCTCTCTTCGCCGATCATGAAGGTCCTGTGCAGTGAATACAAAATCATGGAACACGGCCGCTATTAACGTGCGTGCAATTCTTGATGAGGTATGCTCTTTGGTCTCTTGTACCGTAACCAATCGTAAGGGATTTCGACCAATCGGAATTTCGTGTCACCTTCTTGGAACACGAATTACTCACAAAAGAAATTTTCGATGGATTTTAACAATTTTTATAATCTATATTTCTGATATATCGATATAATTCTGTTTACTTTATCGCACAAGCTTAATTTTTACTAGATTTTCTCTTATCTTTCGAAGGATTGGAAAAAATTGGGTAAATTAATTGAAAATGATTTTAATTAATGATCGTAGAAAAATTAACTGCTTTTATTGCAATTGATTTATCACTATTTGTGATTACTTATTTATTAATCGTCATTATATTTTCCAATAACATGAGAATAATTTTACAAATTTTTAAAAAATCTATTTTCCATCCTCATTTTTATCTCTTGAATTTTTTGATTTCTATCTGTTCATATTACCCATATTACGAACAAATAAATGCTGAGAATCAATAATTAAATATCACAGTTTCGCGTTTAAGATAATCTTTATTTTATTGAAAATAATTAATGGGTTCAAAAATAATTAATTCCCTAGACTACAATTCGTTTTAAATGAATCACGCGTCATAAAAGATCGAAGTAAAACAAACATCTTGTGATTCGATGTTTTTCTCGCTTTGAAATAGTAAACGCGATTCTAACGAATTCTTTCTTTTTTTTTTTTTTTTTTTTTTTTTGCATTCTCTTGGAAGGAATGCGATACAATGGAAGCAGCCAGCTATTTGAAAAATGTGATTCACGCAGAAGAAGAATTCCGTTTTATCCCTCCTCCTCCTTTGCATCCATCGCCCTTTCGCCTTAAAGACGATTTTCACCTTACGTAAAACCGGCACATCGGCCGTGACTCGTTTCCATGGCGAACGACTTTCCCCGATTCTGTATCGCGAACGGTTGCACAGTTTAAAAACGATCGATGCCACGCCTTTCGACCACTTGCCAGAAAATCGTACGGTTAATTTTATCATTGCAACCCATCCATCACCGATTATAATCGCGCATTTCTCTCTTTCTTTCTTTCTTTCTTTCTTTTTTTTTTTTTTACGTTCAATATTTTTCCTTCCCCGAGAAATAAGGAAAATGAAAAAGATCGTTTTAATCGTTTTTAAATGCTATATAATATATGTTTCACGGTTTTACAGATTTTTTTTTTTTATGTAAGAAAGGAAAAATCGCATTTTTCAACTTTCATAAACGTATCCATAAATAAAATAAATTCTATCTTACATAAATGTACGTGTTACAATGAACAATGATTTTCGTCTGTATTTTATTCTTCCTTGTATTACTTAACAAATATGCAATTTTTTTTTTTCCTTTTTTCGATGAAATCTCACTTCAAAATTCTTTGAAAAATGTTTACGTAATTTCAATAAATCCTCTATATATTTTCTACTATTTGGAAAATGAAATTTAACTGAAAGATTCTTTCACATTATCGATTACAGTGAATCAAACTGTCTTATAAATATAACATTTTTTTAAAAAGAATATTTAATTTTTCCTCTTCTCCTCCTTCTCCTCCTCCTCGTCCTCGTCGAAATTTTCGAATTATCGATTCTTACTTGTCAATTTTTCGTACGAGTTCCAATTCCACGAGTTGAAGAGAAAGAAAGTGAATTCGAAATCGAGCGTGCCATTCCAAAACGAAATGTTTAACGAAATGTTGAACGTTTCCTCCCCACCCCATTTGCATCTTTCCGTTCCTTTCCGCCTTTTTCTTTCTGTTTTTGAAAGTAGAACGTTCAAGGACGTCTGGAGTGACCACGGTGGATGGACCACGGTGATTTCACGATACAACGAATGAATTCGTTGCAAACCACTTCTAACCAGATCGTTTCATAATCGATTATGGATTTCATCGACAATCCATGTTCCAAAGATAATTATTAAAAAAAAAAAAAAAAAAAACGACAAAGATCAAAAACGATTACACACACATTCGCTCGAATCGCGACTCGCAATCACAAATTTTATGATAATAATTAAAACAGTAATTTAAGACAGTAATAATAATTAATAATCAAGTAATAATAAACGCATAAAAATATTTCACAAATGATGTAACGCACAAGTTTTATCCAAACTACTATGTTTACGTATGTACTTTCAATTAACTACACCTATTCCATCCTCCAATTTCCAGATAAAAGAAAAACAGACTAACAAACTAAAACCGGAAAATCAATCTTAATCTACCTCCTATAATGTGTTACATTATATACTCGATCTGAATAAAGTTTTCTATCGTTCATTTGAGAAGAAGAAAAAGAAAAAAAAAGAAAAAATTACGAAACTTGAATTCGCATTAGAAAGTCGAACTTAGAAACTCGACTTCGCGGGGATCCAGATCATCGAGGA